TAAATAACATTTATTTAACGCATTTATTTTGCATAGTTAAAGAGTTATAATGGCAACACTTATCTAAAATAATTATTTTTCGAAGTCACACGCACACACGCACACACAACCACACAAATTCGGTAAAAAAAAAAAATCATTTTATAACGTACGAACGTTGCAAACGAACGACATATAGAATTATGAACGAGGTTTTTCCAGAAGTCATTTATTTACATTTGTAAAATATGATATAAAGATAAAGAGAACGATGAATGATGTGCCGGTTATGAGTGTGTTAATTTCTACAATATAAAAAAATTATTTAAATTATTAAAACTTTACCCTGATATTTAATTAAAAAACATATCACTGTTTCAATTGTGCAACGCAATATTCAAATATCAAAAGTACACAATTGTAAACTATGCCTCTTTTTTTATTTATATTTTTTTTTAAATAAAAATTTATTTTGAAGGATACTTTCACTTTTTAAAAAATTATATATGTTTTAAGAAATTTTTAATGTATAATCGAATTCCCTGGGAATTGAATAGGTGATAATCGTCGACTTCGAGAATGTGAAAAAGCCATCTGGACACGATAGGAACAAGATTCATCTCCGAGTGACACGCTATATGCTCCTTCCGCTTGGTCGGTAAATACTAGGATCGGTGTTACCCCGCATACCAAACGGTTTGATATCGACGAGCAAAATACCGTGGACCTATAGAAGAATGTATTCCAAAGATATTGAAATTTTCTCGAGCGTACAAAAATGTATCAACCGTATGGAATTTAAATCCTGTTTCCCATTCGCATTGCATTTTATTCGTCCGAAAACATTTCTCGGTTTTCTTGAGAATGCTGAAATATTAAAATTCACAATACCGTGATTTTTGCAATATCATTTCATACGTTTCATATTTCTTCTTCTATGCAAGTTTTATATAGATTCTGAATATAATTATAATTGAATAATCTAAATAAAATAAAATTTATTTTGTTGCATCGAAAAGATAATTATTTGATTATTAATATTAATGATATATTTATAATAATACAATATATGATATTATTAAGAAACATTATATAAAATGTACAAATTACAAAAATTTCAATACAATTACAATATTAAACAATTCATAAAAAATTTCTGTATCAGCATTCGATTTGCAAACTACGATGATTAAATCCAGCAAGTTTCCATATTACTATTAATTATCAATTTTTCAAGCTATCAATGATGAAAATTAAACACGGCCATATCGAATCCGAATACATTGCGTTGCAGTCTCTTATGCAGTTTACCATGATATGTATGTATACGCTTCAAACTTTTATTCAACTTCTGTATATCGGGTGTCTTAAACTATTCTACTTCTACTTCCGAAGGCAAACTAATTAATCGTCAACAATATATCTTACACTTAAATC